TCAATGCAATGGAGATACGAATGATGTCAATGCTATGGAGATAGAGACGATGTCAATGCAATGGAGACAGAAATGACGTCAAAGCTATGGAGACAGAAATGACGTCAATGCAATGGAGACAGAAATGACGTCAATGCAATGGAGATAGGAACGATGTCAATGCAATGGAGACAGAAATGACGTCAATGCTATGGAGATAGAAACGATGTCAATGCTATGGAGATAGAAATGACGTCAATGCAATGGAGATAGAAACGATGTCAATGCAATGGAGATACGAATGATGCCAATGCAATGGAGATACGAATGATGTCAATGGCAGGTGCAGAAAGGACTCGAGGACCATAGAGATAACAGCACGTGTGCCACCGGCTGCTCTGTGCAGGCACTGATGGGACTAAATGTCGCCCTGCGGTGTTCTCAGTAGACACCCTGCACCTGCAAGGCGGGTGTGATGGGCCATCTTTCCCGAGCTGCCCGCACTCCCCTCCTGCAGAGCATGTGTCAGAATGAGGCTCCACTGAGCACACTCTGAAAAGTCACCCTGGGGACTCCCACCTAGGCACTTGTGTCAGGACGGGAGCAGGGGAGTGCCGGGGTTGGGAGTGACATACTGGGGGAAGAGACATGCTGGCACAGGTAGAGGGTGGGACTTCTTATCTCCCCACCATTTTCACAGCCACGTGGGCAGTGTTCTGGAAGGAGCCTGATTCTGTGATTCAGTTCAACCCATTCCTTTCTATTCCCCAGCTGGGTGACCTTGGGCAAGTGTCCTGGTCTCCCTGAGTCTAGTATCATCACTTGCTGCTGATGGGGTGTGTGCTGTACACCTCAGAGGATCTAAGGTCCCTCCCAAGACCAGCATTCTATGACTACGTGCACTTCTGACAAAATGGGGAGAGAAAGAGAAAAAGGAGTAAGTCTAGGAATATCCCAAATCCACAGGCACTCAGGAGTGTTCCGGCACCCACATGGAGAAGCGAGGTGATGTGCCAAGCCAGATGCAAACTCAGGGGTGGGAGAGAGGAGGGAAGCAGGGCTCCTGCTATCCCCAGCACATCTGAGGAGATGGTTAAGCCCATGGTCCAAATGGCGGTTTTTTTTTGTTTGTTTTGTTTTTTTGTCTTTTTGAGACAGGGTCTCCTTGTAGCCCCAGCTGTCCTGGAACTCACTATGTAGACCAGGCTGGCCTCGAACTCACAAAGATCCACCTGCCTCTGCCTCCCAAGTGCTGGGACTAAAGGAGTGCGCCACCACGCCTGGCTGTGGTCATATTTTTTTTTAATTATGGTAATCACATGCCATATTTTCCAACTGAAACATCAAGGCCTGGTGTGGTAGCTCATACCTCCTACCATATGGGAGGTAGAGGCAAGAGAATCACAAGTTCAAGGCCAGCCTGGTGTACATAGTGAGTTCCAGGCCAGCCAAAGCCACATAAATGAGATGAATGGATGGATGGGTGGATGGAAGGGAGGGAGGAAGGGAGGGAGGGAAGACAGGACAGGACAGGACAGGACAGGACAGGACAGGACAGGACAGGACAGGAAAGGAAAGGAAAGGAAAGGAAAGGAAAGGAAAGGAAAGGAAAGGAAATCAACAACAGACAAGACCCATTGTATTTTGAGGCTGTCAGGTTTAAGATGGTCTCAGAAAGAAAGAATGTGGAAGTTGATCTTTCAATCTTGGTAAAATGTAGATGGCTTGTGGGGACAAGGGGCAGAATAGCTGGAAACTGGAGCATTCCCAGAAGCTCAGGTACAAGACCATCCTTTGGGCTGAGTTCCTTAGCTCCCTCTGAACATCCAGCTAGTGCACTGCATTGCTCTACGTCCACAGAAATCCCCCTAGGCATTCCCATGAAGACAACAGAAACCACACGGGATGCCTGGATGGCCACTGACACACCCAGCCTGGCCAGGTCTCCTCCTAGGGCTCTCTAACTTTCCTCTAGTCTTAACTACAATAATTACTTTCACCAAATTGATGGCAATGGAGCAATAGTCCTGCCCCACCACATCTACCGATGAAGCTTCTGAGAGGCAGAATGACCTGCTTGAGCGTTCTGTCTTCATTGCCTGCAGAGACTGCAGGCTGAGACCTTCTCAAGGCAAGAGTGAGCTGAGCACTTGTCCCCCGTTAGGACTGAGCACTAGCCTGGCCCTTTGTCCCATCCCTGTTCTTAATTTCCTGCCACCGAGTGTCCCTTTGATAAGTGTAGAGAGGGAGAAAGGTGTTATTTAATTGGTTTAAAGATCTCAAACAAGCCAGTGAGGAGGTTATCTCCTCCCCAACCCCTGTATTTTTTTTGGCTCGAGGTTTTGTTTCCTAGTTACTAAAGGAGTTACAGAGAAAGGACAGGCATGCTGTGTATGGGGATGGGGGCTGTATCAAAAGAAGAGCCAGATATTGTCAAAGAGGGAATGGGAACTTGATGATGTTAAGGGGTCCAGCAAAGGGGACAGCAACTTCAAACAGCTCTCCGGAGGCATTCACAGGTGGGGAGGGGAAGGAAGCAGACAAGAGCTGGACAAAATCAATAATTGCTCTATATGACATGTTCTACTGTCAAGGTGAAAGTGTTCAGATCTCACTGGGCCAGCTCCAGGAAAGACAGGTATGCCTGAGGTGGATGGTACACATACTTGTTCTTGGCTGAGCCGGCCCCACGTGACTCACAGGGGGCTGGGGAAAGACTGCAGAGGAAAGGACATGGAAGGTAGAATTTTGCTGTGTGCATTCATCCAGTTAAGGAGTATACAGATCAAACTGATCATCCAAGTTGCTTCAGGAGATGATTATTTAGCTGATCTTCCAGGATCAGCTTGCTTTTGCTGGTGGTACTCGAACTAAACCTAAAAAAAACAAACAAACAAACAAAAAAAAAAACAGGCGGGGTGTGGAGGCACACCCCTTTAATCCCAGCACTTGGGAGGCAGAGGCAGGTGGATCTCTGTGAGTTCAAGGCCAGCCTGGTCTACACAGTGAGTTCCAGGACAGCTGGGGTACAGGGAGACCCTGTCTCAAAAAGACAAAAAAAAAAAACAAAAAAAGCAAAGAAAACCTAAAAACCAAAACTGTGCATTGCCCCCTAGGGGTCATCTTGCACACAGGGGAAGGAAACATTGAGAGCCAGGGTTTCATTTCTTTTTATATATTTAATTTTTTTAATTAAAAAAATTTGCCGGGTATGATGGCGCTCACCTTTAATCCCAGCACTTGGGAGGCAGAGGCAGGTGGATCTCTGTGAGTTCAAGGCCAGCCTGGTCTACATAGTGAGTTCCAGGACAGCTGGGGCTACAGGGAGACCCTGTCTCAAAAAGACAAAAAAAAAAAATTTAATTATGTGTATATATGTCTGTGGGGGGGGGGTATTGAGGGGTATGTGCATGTGTGTGCAGGTGTCTACAGAAGCCAAGGATGTTGAATTCACCCCCTGGAACTGGAGTTTCAGACAGTTGTAGGTCACCTGATATGGGTACTGGGAATTGAACTTAGGTCCTCCGCAGTAGAAGCATACTCTCTTTAGAGCTGAACCATCTCTCCAGCCCCTCCAGCCCAGGGGTTCATTTCCCACATGAGTTATTTTTCTAAATGCATGAATTTGGGGTACTTCTTGGCTCTTCTCCCCTTTGTCCCTGGAAAACAGGAAGGTTTTTGGTTTTGAACTAGAAAAGGCAATATGCATTATGTAGCAACTGTGTCACCAGGGGAGGGTCAGTATTCCCTTGAGCTCCTTCCATGTCCACCTCTCTCTCTCCCAGAGATACCCCTAATCTTGAGCACTGCCCACCTCCAGTCCATCTCCACTGCCCAAAGGCATCTATAGACAAACTGACACCGAGCATGACCAGGACACCAACAGTCACTAGCTAAATTTCTACCTAGCCCGTGGGTCCAAGATAACAGACATGAAGCCAGGGGAGAGGCCAGGGAGCTCCACACTGACTTCAAGCAGCTCCTGACTGCTTTACCCCGCTGGCTCCATTCCCCTGTCACTTGTCATAGCAGAGCTCATGCCTCCTGCTACAGAGCTCTGGATTTATTCTTTTCCCAGATGGACTGGCAAGTCGATAATAAACACGAAGGCCAGGGCAGAGCAGCTAAGCCCACAGAGAAAGCTAACTGGGGTGTGCTTTCTGACTTCTCATCCTCTAAAACTCTACCCAGGATGGTGTGTGTGTGCATGTGTACATGTGTGTGAGTGTGTGTGGTGTTTGGTGGCAGGTGAGGGTAGAGGGTGAGCCTACAGGATTGATTATGACTTATTAAACTACTGCAACACAGGTTGAATCATCACAATCAAAAGATAAATAGCCGCAACTTGAGGCGACACATCTCCCACTTCTTGCTGGTCCCCCCTTTGCTCCCCACACTGTGCCACGGCGCGGACGAGGGTCCGGCTGGGTCCGACCTCCGAGCACTCACTGCCTAGGAGAGCAAGGAGACTGGTCCCGGGGTTCCAGCGGCCGGACGTGAACCACTGACCCCCGGCTCTCTGCTGGCTGCTGGCAATGAATCTGAGCACCCAGGTGCGACCCCGCACCTGCAGCCCGGCAGCGCCGTGGAGAGGCGCTCGCCGCTGTCCCCCGTTTTTTCTTGCCCTTTCCCTGGCTCTGCAACCCGGGACTGCTCGGTGGTAGGCACCGCTTTTGCAAACTTGAGTGACTGAGAACACAGCTCAAAACGTCCCGGAGCAAGTCTAGGTCACCCCAGCCGCCAGGCCAGCTGCCTGGAACACGCAGTAAAGCAGAACCCAGCCTGTGAACAGGAGGGACGGAGTCCTCGCCCTCCACGCCCCCGCACGCGCCAGCTTCTCCCTCCCGCCCGCCTGCCCACCCGCCAGGAACCTCCACCTGTCTCACCCGGCCCTCCTACGGGACCCGGCGGGCGGAGCGAGGTGCCATGACGTCACGGGCGGGGGGCGTGGGGAGCTGTGCAGAGGGGCTGCAGCCAGCCCGGGCCAGTCCTGACTGCCGCAGCCAGCAGCGCGCTCGCGGGGCCGCCCGCGCCTGGAGCGGCGGTCCTCAGCTCGGCGTGGGTGGTCTGCCGGCCAGACTCGCTCTCTCGGACGCGAGAGGGACCAGCGGGAGCCCTCCACCGAGGCAGAGAGCTCCTGGGCCACCGCCGAGCGCCAGGCACCCGCTAAGCTGCTGCGCGCCCCGGCGCCCGGCTGCGCAGGGACAGCTAGTGGGGACTGGAGACGCCGGTGAACCGCGGGAAAGCGAGGTAAGAGGTGTGCGTGGCCGCCCGTGTGTGTGCCTGTGCGTGTGCAGCTGAGAGATGGACGGAGCGACTTGGGCACCTGTGTGCATCTGCGCCGGGTGATGGTGCGCCCGTCCGGGCGACCGAGCGTCTGGGTCCCGGCGCCTAATTCTCTGCCCTTGTGCCTTCAGGCGGTGACAGGTGGGAACGGATGAGGTGCCCTGGCGTGAGAGGTGGATAGGGAGGCTCGGATGGATTTGCCAGCACAGCCTGGGTACGCAGCTAGTGCCCTGCAAGCCCGTGTGTCCGAGTGGTAGCTGTGATGGGCACAACTTCTTTCCTAACCATTTGCAAAAAGAGCCCTGGCCCAGGGACAGCGAGGACAGCTGGGGGAGGAGGGATGTATCAGGTGCCACCCCAGGGCTCCCGTGTTCGCACCCTGAGACCCAAATCAGGGAGGAGCAAGTGATGGGGACACCGAGAGGAGGAAAGACAGAATTCTCCCATTCTTTCCTCACTCAATGAGTAGGCGGACTAACTGGGTTTGGGGTCAGGTTCCCCCTCCCACGCGCCCCTGGACATCTGTCTAGATTGGAGAGACTGGTACCCCTAAACGACAGCAGGTACGGTCCTAGCTGTCCCTGGCACCTCACATTCCCTCTGTTTCCAAGCTGGACTTCCCGGGGCTACAGTCCACTATCCCTTCAGCTTCCTGGAAATGGTAGGAAACCTTTAAGGAACACTTTGCTTCCAGGGTCAGAGAAGGAATGGGTCGGGTGGATTTTCTCTGAGCTCCCTGGGCAGTCCTGAGACTAGCTTACCCGCCTCGCATCCACTTTGGCCACAGCCACGGGGCTCTTCCCAGGCGCTCTAGCGCCACGGTGGCTCAAGCTAGGCTGTTGTGTCTGTTGGTAAGGGCTCACGTTCGAGCCCTGGAGTCCAGGGAGGTATTTAGCAGGCTTGGAGGGAAGAGGACTTGGGGACTGGGAGCAGAAAGATATTGGAAAGATCAGCAAAACTAAAGCTGGGTGGGATTTACAACCAGATGATGCAGGTACCGGTACTACCTTCATTTCTTGGGCTGGCAAGGGTAGCTGGAAACAAGGGAGGGGATTCCTGAGACCATGGAGACCCTTCTTTCCAAAGAGCCAGGGCTTTCTCAGGGTAAACCACCAACCAGGATTTAACAGCTCTTGGGCTGGAAAAATAAAGCAGAAACTCAAACTTCCTGGTACATTTAATTTAATCACAATTCAACAAGTATTGACTGGTGGCAATTTGAATTCACTTTCTTTGGAAGGAACATAAAAGAGAAGCCACTTGGAGGTGTCAGGCAGCTGACTTCAATTACATACAATTCCCCATGATTTAAGCTCATGTCTTGGAGTCTCTCCTGTGGGGCTGCCTTCCAAGGCTCTGAACCCTTCTACAGTTACCTCCTTAAAGTAGAAATGTGTCTACCAGTTTCAGGGAAAACTGACCGTGCTGATTCTGGTTCTGCACAGAGGGCACAGGTAGGACTTAGGAACCACACTGGACCCTGTACCATCTACCTTCAGGCTCTAGAGAGGGAGTCACAGCACCAGGGGTCTCCAGTCGTAGCCAGACATTGGCGTGTGACCACTCACGGTACACAGATGGCACAGGCCACTGTTTAATGCATGCTCTCAATACCGGCAGCCTGAATAAGATGCTGGGTCTACAATTAAATAACTGACAAGATGGTGAAAAATGACAGTGGAAATAACCCAAGTTAATCCGAGGATACTAAAAACAGTTCCTTTATAGCTTCTGGTTTTAATAGCTGTGGGCTTATGCTTTCCTACCCAACGCAGACACGGAGCCGTGAGTCCCAAAAAATACAAATGCAAAAAGCCCAATTCTCACTGTACTGAGCATGTGGTAGAGAAATTAATGCAGAATGAAAAGCAAGGCACCTGGCAGTGCAGAATGAATCAGAGGCAGAGGTGGGCAAGGAGCTCCCGCCTGGTGGTGGCTACGTTTCCTTCCATGTCTCTGCAGTATCTCCCAGCATCATCTTTACTTAGGCACCTGGAAAAGTACTCCGAGCAGTCAAGTGAGCTAGTGGTGCTGGACACACCATCCCTTGACCAGCTTCCCTCCTCCTGGGTGGACCTCCTGCCCTGTGCTCTTGCCTCACTTCATGTACTCAAGACCCAGCCCCCAGATTTTTGGAATCCCCCAGGGAAGAAAGGCATTCTAACATCCTTTATTCATATCATATCTCCATGTAATTCATACTCTATATGACTAGACTACCTTGTCTGTCTCCCCTACTGAAGTATTAGCTCCCTATAGCACCCCAACCATGTGCTCAGCACAAAGAAGCCCCCCCCCAGGTGGTGTTTTCCAATGACTATAGGTAAATCATTTACTTATGGGATGCTCTATTGAATTAAATCTTAAGCCGGGTCAATAGCATCCTAACTATTTTCTCAGCATGGAGGTCACATGGAAATCAGATGATTCAAACCAAAGCCCAAGTATCAGCTACCAGTTTTCATCCACTGAGCATCAGATGGGACATACTGAAAAGCATAGAAGACTTCAGGACAGGTGGCCCAAGTTCAAGTGCCAGCTCCATCAAGTGTGGGGGCAAGTCACTTTAAGTCGCTAAGCCTCAGTTTCCACACCTTTGAATGGGGGGGAAGAGTGAACCCTCAGCTCTCATGACGGTTAGGAAGATGACAGGGATAAGGGACATGAATGAACGAACTACATCAGTGTCCGAAAGCTCTTCCTGGCATCCATAAATATCCTGCATTCTTCACCTAGCTCCTGCCCCTCAATCAGAGAATCGCAGGCGAATTTTCTGGGATGATGGCAGGTGGTGAATACTCTGAAGAGGCTCACCCGTCACCCATCTGGGGATGTTAGGTAAGCTCTCCTCAGCATGAGGGGGTCAAGCACTAGGTATGGGACAAACAAAACTCGGAGGAAAATAAACACAACTAAAGCACACACTTGAAAAATGAAAGTAAGCCAGACTCTTATTTTTAATACTGGAGATTAACTTGATTCACTGTGTAGGCAGATTTCAATAAATCTGAGATAATGAGACAGCAGGGAGAAAAGGGGGGAGAACTATTTATGAGGTTCCGATTCTGATGAGCCTGCACAACACTAGGCATATTTGCATATCTTTCCTTGTTAAACCTTCA